GTGTATGTATTCTGGAGGAGAGTGGTGCTCCGATGCAGGTAACATCCTCACTGTCTCGTGGGAGTCTCTTTGCGTTGGTTCATTTCATGGTCACTGTAGTTTTAGCTCTCTCGTGATGAATTTTTCAGCTGCAGCAGCACATAGGTGGACAGCACTCAAGGCTAGTGGCACTAAAATTATACCTGCAATAAAGCATCTCCATCTGTCACTGCGTGTCGCTGTCATTACCGTAAGTAGATTTACTAATTTGCTTTATCTAATACTTCCTTAGAGGAGAGCTGAGGCCCATTTCCGTTTGTCATCAAAAGAAAAGCACAAGGAGAGACAGTTAAAAACAAAAGTGGGCTCAACTGTCTGGTTTAGTCTGCTTTGAGTAGAAAACTCCATTTCTAGCTCCAGGAGCTTCTTCCTAAATGTTGGGAGAGAGAGAGAGTATAAAACCATAGAAGTGGAAAATTTCTTGTCAGATTCAAAAGTCTTCAGGTTAGCAGACTCCTCATCACTTGCAGCACCTCTAAAAATATCCCTTTGTCTCTGAGGGAAGAGTGTTTTTTTTTAATATTTGCATATAAGTTATGCACCCAAAATATACCCAAGTACCTAATACAGATAAACACACAAAAGCATGTAGTTGTTAAGGAAAATAATCCATAAAGACTAGTTTGTGACTGTAAAATGTACTTATAAGAATGTCAAACTTGCAGGTCACAGAAGCCATTTTCCCTCATTCATATAAGATATTAAGGTACTAAGGTTTAATTTGGGGCGAATAAGTAATTACAGTTTAATTACAGTTTTTTCCTTAAGTTGCTTTTTTGTGGGATTGAAATGCCTCATTTTGGAACATGGTCAAATTTAAATTATGTTTTCTACATTTAACTGTTAACTTTATAATTCTGTCAGGTGTACATGAGTGTTTTTGTCCTACGTGCCAGCATTTAAGTCTTTCAGTTAGGTCACAATTATGGAAAAAATGTAGAGAAGTGGGCAAACGCCCAAGCACTGCAGTAAATGAATTGTTTTTTTGAGTCTTCTTGTATTTCCAAACAAATTGATGATGTAATTTTTGATTTGGCAAAACAGTTGAAGTAATAGCTGAAGTAGGGCAGGTCTTGAAGTGAACCACTGAATGTGTCTGAAATTGTGCATTTTTTTCTGCATGAGTGCTTGTGTGATTTTTTTTTTTCATGTGCAAAATGGCAGAAATGTCAGACCAAGGGTAAACCAAGGAGCCGTGAACTTTACACTGTTAAGTAGAGCAGCTTTACTCTTMCATGCTGCAACATCTGTTTGGAAAAACCCAATTCATTTCACCTTCTTGGGAATCTAACATATACTTTATTTTTTATTGTTCCACAGAATCAAAAGCCCAACTAAAGGTTTTGTTTTTGTATTGTACTTTGTGAACTTCTGTCTGCATGAAGGTCAGTATGTTGCAATGTTTTTCTAATTTACTTGTATGATGTGAAAGTGTTTTTGATCTCCTTTATTTTTAACCATGGGAATGATCCTGCAATCAGGCAGTCATCCATTACTACTGTCCTCTGCAGACACCCAGATATTTTTAGAAAGAAGCTGCACTTATTTTTCTCAGAACATTCAATGATTTAACCACTTTGAATGCTCCCTCGTTTCTTCCTAAACACAACGAGCATTCATCAGTCCGTTTGCTTTACCTGCTTGTTATTGTGCAGGGGGAGCCGGGTGGTGCCTATCTCCAGCTGTTACATATGAGGTGAAAGGCAAGGTCGTAATTCACTTTTACACTCAGGAAGAATTTAGAGTCACAAATTAGCCTGACATGGATGTTTTTGGATTGGGAAACCAGAGATCCAGAAGAAAAGCCATGCATGCCCCAGGGAAATAAGCAAAGTCCACACAGAAAGGTGCTAACTGCCCCACAATGCATCCTGTATGCAAATGTTTATTTTGTCTGTTTGATTATGATGCTCTCAAATTAAGCGGTTTTCATTTATTATAGTATAACGGTGATCAAAATCTTAACATGAATCATACTGAAYGATTTTTTAATCAAATTTATTCAAACAGCACAGATTCACAACCAAACTCAGGTCATTACACTGAAAAGTCAAAGAAGTTTCATTACAAACTACATCATTCAATACAATTTATTTAGGTTCAAAATAGCTAAATTCAGTGTAATTATCCAAATTTACTGCCATCCAATTAATCCAAACGGATTCAACAAATTCAGATTTCACCCCCCCCACCCCACCCAATCAGTCCAGTTCAGTTCAGCCGAGTGGTTCAGAATCAAAACAGAACAAACAGAGGCCTGTGAAGGCCCAGGTAGGTTTCTATTTATAGCTGCTGTCAATTCACAACTCCAGAGTGGAGATAGCTGTTTGTCTCGCCTGCTTGCAAACTCACGTACACTCCCAAAGCTGCACACACAGYCAGCACAAGAAACACAAACTAATAATCTCACGGTCCCGTAGCTTTTCCCCGTACGTTGTGTTTAACAACCCCAGCTGCGTCAACGAGTCACAAACAATCTCGCTGACACAAACGCTAACCTGATTTTAAGCTAGTTTCCACCTCTCACACCTTTAAACAACGTTTGCTGCATTGATCCTAAAATCCCAGCGACGAAAGTGTTTTATATGTGAAGCTGATTTTAACATACAATTAATTCGTTAATCGTGCTGATGGAGGTGGCCTAATTGAGAGGGAGTTGTTGTTTGAGAAAGACTAAGAAAAAAAGGGGGGTGGGTGGGGGGCTCAGGTGTGAGCTAATCTGATCTAACCCTGCACTAATTAGGATCAAGGCTAGCGGTCACTTTTCCTGGTTATTGATCAGCGGCCCCGCCTCGCGCAGAAGTTTCCTTAGAGTGCAGCAGCACAGCGTGCAGACATCAGGAGGCTCCCTCTGCCCTGCCTGCTGAATGTTGTTTGTGTCTTTGAAATTCAATAGCCACTTCCTTATTCAACGTCAGGCCCTTCCAACTGCTTTTGAGGCTAATTCATCAGGCCTCCGATCAGCGTGGCCAGTCTTTTGCCTGGGGCCCCTCAGTCTCTACAGGTACACGGTGAAACAGTTTCCACAGAGTTGTTCTGATCCAGCTTTATTTTGGTTTGCAATTTCGTCCAAACAGAAAAAAGCAAATAAACCAACAGTTTTGGTCCTCGTGGGCCACTATCCTGCATGTTTTAGGTGTTTCTCTGGGAAACGAGGAACACATRTACACCCTGGGTAAAGCTTTACTGACTGGATATGACAAACTGATAAAAAAAATGTGAGTTACTGTGTCTGTTTTCAAAAAGAAAGTTTGATGGTTCAGTCTGCTCCAAAYGTCCTTGTGCAAGGACTCGAACCCCCCACCCACGCCCCGCCTAACCCCACCTCCCCATTCCCATTACTGCTACATTCATTGGTGTGTAATTGTTGAGCAATAGCTCTGCATACAAAGAGTGAAATGAATATTATTAGCACTGTAGGTGTGTGTGTGTG